CTCTCCCAAGCCTGCTCAAGAGCTCTTTCCAAGCCATGTCAAGGGGTTGGCCCACCTCGGGTTCACTAATCAAGGACCCTCCTTGCTAAGAAGCCTCTCACAACAGCACCTGCTGATTTCTCACTGGGCAGTGGCAGCTGCTCCCGCGGCCCCCACCAGCTCAGCAGTGAAATGCCTGCAGGCTGGAGATGCAGAGCATGGTGGTCAGGGGCCCAGCTTCCTTCCAGGCCTTTGTCATTCCCTGAACGTCCACTGGGCAAATGCGCCTGAGTTTGTGGCAGGTCTCCACTCACAGAAGTAACCGCTCTGTGCCTCAGTTTCCATGATAGTAAAATGTGAGCAAACTTTCTCCAGCCCTATCAGCTCCTTGGCTCCCCAAGCCACTCCTGGACCTATAAACTCCACCCTGCCTGTCAGCCCTGATTCTAGTTTCCTATCTGACCTTCAAGTTCAGCCACAAAACCCACATCCCCCAACCACAGCTCCACCGCAGGCTCTCCTCTCCTTAGCCCAGCCTTAGTCACCCCCCAAGCGAAACCCTCTTCCTCAGTCCCCCACACTTCAGGGTTTCTTCGGCTCCCAAGGGTGGGAGAGGCTGGGTCCAGTTGTCAGGACCTCGGAGAAAAATCTTTAGGGTTTTGTTTGGTGTGTGTGTGTGTGTGTGTTTTTGTGTGTTGTTTTTTTTGGGGGGGGGGGGGCCTAGGCATTTAAGTCTCCAATGTGATTCTCAAATGACAACCGTAGCTGTAAAAAAAAAAAAAAAAAGTAAGCAAAAATACTGCCCACCTCACTGTATTAATCTGAGAGTCAAACAAGTTAATAGTGGAAAATGCTAGCACAATGCCTAGCATATAGTAAACACTGAAAAAACAGCTGTTCATTGTTTCTGTGAGTATTCTATCATTTGGAGCAAGCGTTGTAATCCACCATGAGTCAGCTTAATGCACGAGCACTGGAGAACAGGGTTAAAGCAGTGTCAACAACCTTACCACCAGAGCCATGTGGGCTTGGGCTTGGAACAGGGTCAGTGTCGGACCACCGGCAAGTGTAACCACGGGCAAGACAACTTCTTGCTTTGAGCTTCAATGTCCCCCTGCACATGGGTCATATTGACACCTCCCTCCTGACTAATTGGAGGTGAAGCTGTGAGATGAGCCCCATAGTACCCAGCATGGTGCCCAGCAAGAGGGTGCACTCAGGGAACACAGCAGCCCTGGTTCAGCCAGGTCTGGCCCTGCCTGAGTCACCTCCTGACCTCTCGGTGCCTTGCTGTCCTCCTCTGTCCCATCCCCTTAATGGGCTATGAGGCATCGGACTCGCTTAGTGGCTGTAGCAAATGCAGCTGCTGGTGCGAGTCTTGTGCTGTCTGTCATTCCAGCACCCTGAGACTTCAGGGGTCACTTTCCCCACTCGAGCCCCCAGGTCTCCCGACAGTGACTCTGCCACAGCAAATACTGTCCAGACACTGGCAACCCTTTATACCTGCAGCCTGTCACCTCTCCTCCACCCCACACTCCATAGCCAGCCACCAGCCACTGGCTTCCTGTGGGAGTCTAATGGTAGCTCACACCCCACACCCCCAGCAACAAACTTCTGCTCCCCACAGCCTTCCCATCTCAGCACCAGCTCCAGCATCTTGACGTCACCGTGGATCCGTCTCTGTCGTACACCCACATCCCCTTTCAGGAAATACTGTTGCTTCACCTACAAGAGAGAGCAAGGATCTCCCAATCGTCCTCCACTCTCGTCTCCCTCCTGGGCCATTGCAGTGGCCTCCTTACTGTCTCCCTGCTCCTCGAGGCCCCTCCACCATCTATTCCCCAAACAAAGCCAGAAGGTCCCTGTGAACACTGCATTGGATCACATCTCTCTCTGCTCAAAGCCCTTCTGTGGCTCCATCTCACTAGGAGACAAAGTCCTCATCATGGCCCACAAAGCCCCACGCAGTCCAGCCCTGCCACCTCTCTGACTTCACTTCTCTGGTGCCTCAGTTTCTGTGATAGTGAAATGGGAGCAACAATAGTGCCTACCTCACTGTGTTAACCTGAGAATCAAACAAGTTAATACATAGAAAACGCTAGCACAATGCCTAGCATGTAGTAAATACTGAAAAACAGCTATTCCCACTACTCTCTCTCTCTCCCCCTTTTCCTCTGTCCCAGCCACATGGCCACCCCAGTGTTCCTTAACCCACAGGCACATTCCTGTCTTGGGAATTTTGTACTGGCTGTTCTATCTGCCTGGATACTCTTCCCTCCTGTAACCCCTGGCTCAGTCCCTCCTCTCCTTCAGAGCTTTTACAAATGCCATCTTCTCAGAGAGGCCTCCCCTAGCACCCTGTTTAAAATTGTACCCACGGAATTATCCAACACTCCCACCCCCTTCCCTGCTGGATTGTTTCCTTGGCATTTATCATCTAATAAATATGGCGTTTATTTAATTATGTATAATGTTATAACAGTTACATAATGTTGCATAATTATATATAAAGTATAACAATATATTAATTTCTTTGTTTCTCCCACGTTATCATACGTACCCACCTCCCTATCTCTGTTCTCCCCACCCAGCCACCATCTCAGCCTCTGAGCTCTCACTGGCTGATGGACGGGACCGGCCACTTCGACGCCTAGACCCTGGGATGATGCCACTGCCTGACACAGCTGCTGGCCTTGAGTGGTCCAGCCTGGTAAATGCAGCCAAGGCGTACGAAGGTAGGTATCCTCCACCCAACCCCACCAGATCCGACCCCAGTGATGGCGAACCTTTTGAGCTCTGCGTGTCAGCATTTTGAAAAACCCTAACTTAACTCTGGTGCCGTGTCACATATCGAAATTTTTTGATATTTGCAACCATAGTAAAACAAAGACTTATGTTTTTGACATTTATTTTATATATTTAAATGCCATTTAACAAAGAAAAATTAACCAAAAAAATGAGTTCGCGTGTCATAGGTTCGCCATCACTGTCCTACCCTCTGCTGTGCCCTAAAAGGATCAACAGAGGGCTTTGGAGTTTTGAAAGGGGACACACTCAGGTTCCAGAATCAGATGGAACAGGGTTCACATCCTTCCCCTGTCGCTTGCTTGCTGTGCAGTCCTAGCCAAATGTCTTCATCTTTCTGATCCAGTTACCTTAGCTGCAGATTAGGGACGTGACTGTGCCCATGACCTGAGGCTGCAGTGAGCATTACATGAAACTTATGTAAAACATGTCAGGCACAGAACAAGCCCTCAACAGACAATACCTTATATTATTACTGTAGGGCAAAACTGTAGCAATCCAAATTGTGTCTAGATTTGCTTCGGCTGCAAGTGGCAAAAAATCCAAATTAATAATGACTTAAACATGCCTGGTTTTGCACAGGTAAAAATTATTAGGTGGGCTGGCATGGCACTTCCACAAATGCCTGAGGGCACAGGCTTTTCACCCCCACAGTGAGGCTACTAGGGTTCTGACCATGATGTTCAACTTTGAGCAGGAGAGAGAAGGACACATGTCCTCCCTATAAGGGCACTTCCCAACGCCTCACACTTCTCCTGTGCTTATTTCCATTGGCCAGAATGTCACACGTGGCCACGTCTAGTTGCAAGGCAGGCTGGGAAATGAGACCATGTGTCCAGCTGAAATTTGGAATATGTTATTATGGAGAAAGGGAAAACTGATCATGATGGACAGCTAGCAATCTCTGCCATTTCCTTCCTGTGTGACCTTGGGCAAGCGGCTTTATCTTTCTACTAGAGGCCCAGCGCACGATTAAATCGTGGTTAGGATCCCTAGGTCTACCTGCAATCAGGGCCATGTCTGCCGCCCAGCGTCACTCCTCCACCTCTGTGGCCCCTGCCCCATGAACCTCCATGCTCACAGCCCCCGCCCTGCGAGGCTCCTCGACCTCACTCCTGCCCACGCCCTGCAATGCTCTTCCGCCTCAGCAGCCCCACAAAGCTCCACGCTCACAGCCCTTGCCCCACCTCCACTGCCCCGCAACGCTCCTCCACCTCAGCCACCCCACGAAGCTCCACGCTAACAGCCCCCACCCCGCGAGGCTCCTCGGCCTCAGCCACCGCCACAATGCTCCTTCACCTCAATGCCCTGCGAAGCTCCATACTCACAGCTCCCGCCCTGCTCCTCTGCCTCACATCCCCCGCCCCTGCCCGCGATGCTCCTCCGCCTCAGCCACCCTGGGAAGCTCCATGCTCACAGACCCCCACCCCGCAAGGCTCCTCAGCTTCCGAGACCCTGCCCCGCCATGCTGTGAGAGCCAGACCGGTCCTTTGGTCATTTGGGCCCACAGCTCCCACTCCCTCAGCTCCCTAGCCTGCTGTTTGGTCGTCCATCCGGTCGTGATGGCACCTGGCTTTTTATATATATTAGGATGCCTCCATTTCCTCATGGGTTCTCATGGTGATCCCTGACAGACACAACCATATTCTTCTGGCTCATTTTTTTATCTTTTAGGCCAAGCATGTCAAACTCAAAGGCTAACACGGGCCAAATAAACAAGGTTTAAGTTTATGTGGGCCACAAAAAAACAGAAGCTTCAGTTTTCATAGAAACATAGGTTTATTTCAATAGAATACAAAGGGCTGAAATAAATGAGTAATCGTTAACATAAAATAATAGAACATTTGAATAAAAATTAATATTTTTTCTTGAACATTAACTTACCAGACACTGAATAACTACACAAATTAATAAGCATAACACAAATAAACCTACTTTTCTTGTTCTCCGAAAGTGAAATATTTCCTGTTGTGCATACCAAACAAGTCAGTCCAAGACTAATGACGTCAGCCGCTAAAATATTCACTGCCAGTATTAAGTGGAGAGAAATAGTGCACCTGTGCATGTAAGGCGCATAAGGGAAATGAATGCAACACGATTATAGTAATCAGTCATTAGCAAACGTTGTAGTTTGTTATTAATAATTATGTATAACAGGATATTATAAAAATTAAGTTACGAAGTTTTTATTAAAACATTTCTTACATACCGTTATATTGGTTGGGCCGCAAAAATATTCCTTGTGGGCCGCATGCAGCCCATGGGCCGCAAGTTTGACATGCTTGTTTTAGGCCACAGCTTAATTGTCCCTCCTCCAAGAAACCCTCCTTGGTATCCCCTAGTCTACATCAGGCACCTCCTCTGAGCTCCCACAGCCCTGACCCCTCTGCCTGTGCCCTGACCACTCTGAGCCATCGCTCTCTAATGATGGGTATGTTTCCCCACTAGGTCAGGAGGGCAGGACCCGAGGGCAGTCACTACTGGGTGCCCAGCACAGATCTGCTAAACCAGACCCATATAATACACATCCTTCATTTTTCCATGGTTGAGCCAGTCCACTCTGGCAGGTGGCCCTAGAGGAAACATCCTTCCTCATTCCTTCTGCCCATTGCTTCCATCCCATCCTGCAGCCTCCGCTGGCCACAAGATAAAGGCAGTCAGGCCTGAGGTTGGGGTGAGAAGGAGAGTGGTTAGAGCAGGGGTGGGCAAACTTTTTGACTCGAGGGCCACAATGGGTTCTTAAACTGGACCGGAGGGCCGGAACAAAAGCATGGATGGAGTGTTTGTGTGAACTAATATAAATTCAAAGTAAACATCATTACATAAAAGGGTACGGTCTTTTTTTATTTTTAGTTTTATTCATTTCAAACGGGCCGGATCCGGCCCTCGGGCCGTAGTTTGCCCATGGCTGGGTTAGAGCATACGAGGCCCTGCCTCTGGTCTACCTCAGCCTTCCCCTGGAGAATGGCTGCCAGGCAGAACCCCAACACTGCTGATGGGTGTGGCCCTCTGGAGGCCTGGAACGTGCAGGGGTAGGAAGGGTTGCTTAGTGGTGCTTCCTGAAGGCAAGATGCAGCCAGCACTTCCTCACTTCACAAGCAGCATCTCTTCTGGTCTCGTCTGAGGGATGTATTCTGATTCCCATTTACAGACGAGGAAACTGAGGCTCTGCCAACAAAGGCGCCTAGGAACATTGTACACTTTTCAGCATTTGCAGTCTGTTGTATGTCAGTTAAGCCTCAAGAAGCTATTTATAAGGTGGGAAGGAAAGGAGTAATCTGGTGAATAGAAGCAAAGGACAGGCAGGGAGGAAGCCAGGGTATGTTGAGTTGTTGGAACGGGCGCTGGGTTCATGAAGATGCACAGTGCTGTTGTCTCTGCTTTGGGGCATGTGTGACATTGTTCACAGAAGAATATTTTCAAAGAGAATAGATTTTAAGGCCAGGAGAGAAGACAGCAGCTATAGGGATGTTGTTTAGAGAACTGGGGGGGGGGGGGGATTTCAGGATAACTGTTAGCCATTGAGTACAAATGTTAAAGTTCTTGAGTATGACAGTGTGTTGTGATGATGTAGGAGAGCGTCCTATTCTTTGGAAAAGTATAATGAACTACATAGGGGTGAAGCACCATGGTGGTGGCCATTTACGATCAATAGTAGGAAAAAATATATTCAGACACAGATGAGTGAGGAGAGAGGAGGTCAGTGTGGCAAAATATTACCGGTTGGTGGATCTAAGGGAAGGGTATTTGGTTGTTACTGTGCTCTTCTCGAAGCAGTGAGATGTCCAGCTGACGGGAGCCGCCCTTGCGGGTAGCAGTGCATGTCCAGCATGTGCACCTCTGCTCCTGGCCCTGCCTATACCCTCAGGGCACGCACAGGCCCACCTCCTGGGCCTTCTCTCCCCCTTGTCTGGCAATAGTGAACCAGCCGCTCTGTGGTGCATCGGGACCCTCACCAATTCTTGTCATTACAGGAAGATCCCCCAACAGTCCTGTTTAAGATTGCCAGCACTCAGGCCCCACGCAAAGCACCCTGTGACTGTTCACTTGCACCAGCCGGCCCTGTGACTTCTGTTCTCTTCAGCATACATGACTTTGCATTTCTGTTTTGCATTTCTTTTTGCTTTTGTGATTTCACAGACATTCTTAGAACTGGACTATAACGAACCCTCATGTACTGTGTCACTTATACACTCCACTTTTTGCCATTTTTTTCTGCCACTTATTTGTTGACTAAAGCAAGTCATTTATGCTAAGAATATGCCAGGTTCTGAATTGGGTTATTACTTCCTCACACTATAATTTAACCTGTCTCTCTCTCCCTTGAATTTTGTCTAAACTGATCATTTTGGTCTAGGGCAGCGGTTCTCAACCTGTGGTTCGCGACCCCTTTGGGGGTCAAATGACCCTTTCACAGGGGTTGCCTAAGACCATCGGAAAACACATATATGATTACATATTGTTTTTGTAATTAATCACTATGCTTTAATTATGTTCAATTTGTAACAATGAAATTGGGGGTCACCACAACATGAGGAACTGTATTAAAGGGTCGCGGCATTAGGAAGGTTGAGAACCACTGGTCTAGGGACTTGCTCAGAATCACAATGGGGTTTTGTTGTGTCCTTATCTGATTGGATTTTTTGGCAAAAATTCATCCACATTGCCTGTGTGATCTAACAAAGGTGTGGTTGGGAATGTGGTGGAGGTTCAGGCGAAAGGTGCAGAGGGAGGGTCATCGATTGAGGAGGAGCCAGGATCCCCGCTGACCCCTCTCCCCTCTCTCTCCGCCAGTGCAAAGAGCCGTGTCACTCTTCTCTCTCAATGACCCAGCTCTGAGCCCGGACATGCCACCTGCACACAGTCCTGTCCACAGCCACCTGAGCCTGGAGAGAGGACCCCCAACCCCCAGGACCACCCCTACCATGAGGTGAGGTTTCCCTGGGGACATCCAGGTGAGTGATAGCCACTGCAGGTCACCCCACCACCCGGTCTGCAGTGTCTGGGGAACATCTGCTTCCTCATCTAACGCTGTGGAGTGATCCACGCACTGGGCCCCGCAGTGACCAAACCACAGTGGGTCCTGTCCTCATGGTCAGGTGGACACGACACTGTAATCCGTGTTCTCACAATTGTTGCACTTCCAACTTTGAAAACTGCTTAAGTTGTGACTCCATTGTCCTCTCTGTTGGCTTCTGGGTCTCCTCCTCTGCATATTCCTAAATTATGTGAATCTTCTCCCTAACGACAGTTAGGGGGTCCCTGCTGGGCTGTCTGGGACCTGGGAACGATGAGGCAGGAACCCTGCCTCAGGAGGCTTCCTGGGGAAGGGAGGAGGACATGGGCCAGGCTGTCACATTTGCCATCTCACATTTAGTGTAACGTCTTTGACTGCATTGTCGTGGCAGACAATAAAATTAAAGAGGGAGATAGAATGGAAATGGCATGTTTGCAAGTCCATGGATGTAAAGAGTGCATTGCACATGTGCACAGCCGCCCTTCCCTCACAGGACTCTATATACCACAGTCATGGACCTTGTGGGCAGTACAAGCGATTTTTCAGGGTAATTTTGATTCTTCTTGTTGGTGTCACACAGTGGCTTCACGACTCAACCTCCTCCCAAATGTGGCCCCACTGTAATTACAGGAACTAGGCAGCTACAGGTGGTGCCACCACAGAAAGGGTAGGAATAGAGTGGGTGTGGAACTGGTGGCACCTGTGACCTCTGGGTGCTCTCCTGACCTCCTCCCACCTGCATCCCATCTCCCCCTGCAGAAGATCCAGGACCACGGAGGGAGGGAAGGGTGAGGGGCCGAGTCCTTTCCCCTTCTTGGGCTGAGACCCCGGGCTCCCTTCGTCTGCTGCAGCCCACCCCTCCCCAGCACCCACCAGATATGTGTGACCCACAGGCCAAGTGGAGCCTTCTAAGGAAGGGGCTGCCCACTGTCCCCTGAAGAGGCTAGGCAAGCCCAGGGCAGAGGAATCTGCAGAGGAGGAGCCATAGGCTAAGGTCCTGGGTGCAGTGTCCCTGCCTGAGCCTGGGTTTCTCTTCTGTCCAGTGGGTAATGACATGGTGACCTCCCAGGCTGCGTTGGGCCAGAACCTGTTAGATGGAGACCATGTGCAGTGCAGGGTGGGCGCCCAGTGCCAGCGGCTATCGTTGTCCTCCTCAGTCTCATTGTTAGTCCTGTCCACTCACAGGCCTCGTGTGCTCCATGGATGTCTGCGGGATGGGTTCTTTGTCTCATGCCACAGGAGCTGGTCACACTTGGGCAGGATTTCTCCCTAAGCACATACATGGTCCCTCCTCTGGGGAAAGCACACTTCAGGGCAGGCACAGGCACAGCCTTCAGCCTCACCCACATCCACACACGTGCCCTCACTGAGTGGAGCAAGGCCAGGAAGAGAGCTGGCTTCTGGCTTCCCCCAGACTTACTCCTCCAGGCCCTGTTGGGATACCAGCAGGGAAAGGACGCCCCAGAACCTCAGGAGTGAGAGTAGCCTGACCCTGTCTCCTGTCTTTCCAGCGAGGAGCCACCCCTGGATCTGACAGGCAAGGTGTACCAGCTGGAAGTAATGCTGAAACAGCTGCACACGGACCTCCAGAAGGTAAGCCCCGCCACTCCACTGCCCAGACACTCGGGGGCCAGCAATGCTGAGGTACCTGTCCCCCCACCCCTGCAAATCTAGGGGAGGCCACCCATCTTTGAATGGAGTCATGAGTAAAGAATAAAACGTGACACTACCGAAGGCTGGTGAACACAGAGAAATCACACGTTCTTGGAGGAAGAATAAATTAGTCTAACCTTTTGGGGGCAAGAAAAGTAATTATGTACCATGTTGACCCAGCAATTCCACTTGTGGGAATTTTCCCAGCAGGATCTCAAGCATGGGCACAGAGACCTGTGAGTGAAGGTGTTCATGCTGCACTGTTGGCAGAATAAAAAATGGGAGCCAGGCCCAGCTGGCATGGCTCAGTGGTTGAGCATCGACCTATGAACTAATTTTTTCCCCCTAATGGGAGCCAGTGTAGCCATCCCTGCACAGGTCAGTGCTGATGGACGTGACAGGTCACCCAGGCAGCAGGTATTCTGCAGCCAATTAAAATAGTCACATAAAACTATATATTTACTAATATACAAAAGAAATCCAATAACTTAAGTAACAAACTAAGCAAGCTGCAGAACTGTTTTCTAGAACAACATCATACTTGAAATAAATGTTTAACGTCCATGGGTCAGAGGACTACGTAGAAAGCAGCAGTCTGAATTGTTGTATTTACCTCCAGGGTAGAAAAATGAGGAGAAATAAGGATGGAGGATACTTTTCCTTGTTGCTTCCTATAGTTTGGGGTAAAAGGCAGCATATACTGTGAGTCTCAAGCACAGAAATCACAAGAGCTCTGGTTCAGATCTCACCCCAGCACCTCATGTGACCTTGGACGAGTTGCCGCCTCTGGATGTGAAGGATCCTGGAAGGGTGTCCCGGGAGAGGCCATGGAGGCAGCCCTGCGTCCATACCCAGCTCCCCCTTGCTGTATGGGGCTGGGTTTCCCAACACCCTGGGTGGCTGAGGGTGAAATGAGGTGATAATAATCACAGTGAGGTTTGTCGGACTATCACCCAACATCACGCTGTGTTGTGAAAGCTCCCACATAAATGACCTTAGGGAAA